TCAGTGTGGCATGAGCCTGAGCTCCAGAAACAGCCCGAGAAATGGACTGAACCATGGAAAGAGCCGTTGCAAGAGACACAGCCGGCCCAATGGCACGCCGACCTCCATCAGGTCGTGAGCTCTCCCTCATTTCAAGCATTTACCAGTTTTTCATTCCCTAGCAGTCCTTAGTGAGGACACAACTAAAAATAGAGGAGCGTGCTGCTCACGGAGAGTGCTCGACTCCCTGCCCCTCGTTAATAAATTCCAGGAGGCGCTGCTGGAAACATCTATGTTTGGGCAGCAGGAGGAAGTTCAAGCCCTTGCACCAGCCTCCTAAACCAAACACGAACAGCCAGCTTGGCCAGAGACGCAGCTGTCACTTCAGCGGGGGACAAGCTCAGCTATGCAGCCTTTGTTGAAATAAACCCAAAAATAAGTTAGTGCCACCTAGGGACCAGTACGAAGGCAGGGAGGCAGAAGAGCCACACCACAAACAAAGGGTGTCAGTGGCTGATTTACTCCTTGCACGGATGAGAAGTCAAACTGCAGCAAGGAGAGGCTCTGGTCTATTTAAATAACACCAGGTAGGCGTTTTTTGAGCTGCAGCTTCTCCCCAGAAAGGCACCGGTTAGGTGAAGCCCAAAGGCTGCTCAAGCGCAGATTTGACTCAATACTGTTACTTTCCCACTTTGGGCAAAGAGCATCCCTTCACCTCAAAATACTCAGAGCTCTTTGGTTTGGGGAAGGAAAGTTTCAAGATCAGGGTTTATTTAGGACCAATGCATACCTAGCAGTAATTTAGAGTTACGTACCCGGCAGAGGGCCCCCCAGCCTGTACTAACACGTCATTTCTAATCCAAAGGCCGGGCAGAAAATTCACCCAAGCCATGAACCCAGCACTAGACAACTGACAGCAGTTTGTTATTGCAGGCTAGACCTGCACATCAGCGAGGGACACCTGGCAAGACCTAACATTTGTTTAATTAAGACTTTAGCTATGGAGAGCAAATACAACTTCTAAACAGAGCACGGGCTACCTTATTTCTTCCCAAAATAAGAGCTGAAGCTCCACATCACCTTGGTCCGTGCTGTTTCCCCTACCTGCTGTCTCCTTGGACCTTGCAGGGTTTGCCTTAAGCTACTAACTGGATCAGACTCATCACCCCGAGTCCTTTCTACAGATGATCCCACAACCTAATACAGCACAGCCAAAGTCTGCTGAGAGAGGCACTTCTGCAGGTGCGCAATGATTAATTGGTGCACATTTCCATATCACAAATTAAAGAAAAAAAAAGACTTCTCAGCTTTTGGCTGAGAAGAACTCAGGCTGGTTGAATTGCAGTATATTAACCTTTGAAACTGGCAGTCATGGATACCAGCTTCAAAAAGATTAATATCAATGGGACAAAATCCCAGAGGATAGCATCACGTTGCTGCCAGTTTTTCTGAAGCTTTACAAAATAAGGCATTTTGAGGCTTTATTTAAGGTCATATCTTTCCATGCTCATTTTATAAAGAAACCCAAAGCAGTTCAGATTTATAGGCAGAACTGAAGTACTGGAGGAGGGGAGAAGGGGGGAAATCAGAAGCTGTAGAGGAAAGCTGTGGGTATGCATGGAGAGCCTGGGAGGAGAGGGCAGGAAGCATGCTTCATCCGAACTGTTACCATTGTCACAGTTAATTGCTAAGAGTCGTCCTCTCTGAAAAAGGTTTGTAACTGAAATAAATAATATAACTCTGTTAGTTCAGCGCGTTCTGCAGGTCCACAGAGGCTGCAAGTTAACATGGTGTACATGGTAAATCTTTCCAGCAAGAGGCGCAGCAACAGCTTTGAGATGCTCACTAGCCGGATCTCACCCCTGCATTCAGCTTTCACCGCAGACTGCATCAGAAAGAAGCTAATAATCATTAAGCTGCCATCTTTTCTTTCTAATTATTTGTCTCCACAGCAGGGTTCCTCCAACCATCAAGTAAAAGGGAAGCAAGTCTCAAAGGAGCAACTGTTTTGAAGAGGGCTTGCAGCTGCCACCGCATGAATGGCTCTCCAAGAACAGTAGCAACTGCTACAAACTGCCCACAGAGCTAGGAGGAAAGCATCTCTGTTGAAGCTGTTTTTCAATGTTGGTTTTTAGGTCAACTAAAACAGCTTTTCTTATGCAACAAGAGATGCAGAAAGCTCACTTGCTTTTGAGTTTTTGCTTCCATTTAATTAGATGGTAATTCAGAAGGCAGCACTGCTATTTTAAACACCACAATGAGAACTATTTCACTATTTGCAAAGCGTTAAAATGAAACCACCGAGCTAAGCCAGCCCTAGAACTTGACACCGCATGAGATTCTGATGGTCTCTTCTAAAGGTATGGGACAAGCGAAAGAGATACCCTGCTACCACATTTCCAGGAGAGGTTCAAGGCAGAAAATCTCACTGAAAGGTAGAAAAGCAGGAGACCTTACTTGTTCTTCCTCTCTGAGCTACATGTGAATAAGAATTAAGGTGAGACCCCGAGTTCACAACGCAACTGCTGTTCAATGGCTTTATGAAGCAATGCCCTTCTCTAGGTGACCCGTGAATTAAGGGATAGAAAGAAACAATTTCACGTACAGGTAAACTTTAGATCACAACACGTGGCTCCCAGCATCACCAGTGCCAACGTATGGACAGACGCAGCCCAGCAGCAGCCCGTTAACGGACACACTGCGCTTACCACCTCCTTTGCCACAAAGATAGCTCTGAACACTTTTTCAGCCAGCGCGCATGACCTCACTTTGGATTTCTTGACAGGCTTCAAATAATGGCAACATATGTGAATCTTAGCTCGAAGATCAAGAGCACAACCTCAAATGTCACAGGCTCCTCTTGCCGCACTTGCACCTTCAGCATTTTTCTTCGCGGTTTCTGCCCTCCAGTTTCTCACAGCACATCCCTTCATGGAAGCTGCTGGTGTGTTACTTTTAGAACCGATGCCCAACACTCTTATCAGGCCAGGAGAGGAGATTCACTTACTACAGCTCCTATGCATTTTATGTTTACCTAAGAGATAAGCCAGGCTTAAAGATAGAAAGGCAACCTGAGCCTGCCGATTTCTCTGCTGGATGAAGGTCAGGGCTGTCCCTGATCCAGTGAAACTGTACCACACAACCTTTATCTTTGCCATTGCTAACAAGGTACCACTTAGCTTTCTTGTTTGCTGACCAAGATTAACACCAAGTATTCAGCAAGCAGCAAATTTCACCTTGTATCAGGGTCAAAACCCCCAAAGCCTGTAATAAGCAGGACCATTGAAATGCAATTCTCTACTCTCTGTGCAGTACATGAAAGACAACAGACCGCTTGCGCAGACAAAAGTCGCAGTGAGACTGCTCTGGGTAGAGCAAACCAGGGGTTGTTCAGGTTACCAGCCTTCCCCAAGGAAGAAATTCACCCTTGACCAGAGACTTGTCACACAGCAGGTGTGACATCACCCATCTGTGACCAGATGGGTGACTGCGTCCTGCTCAAGCACGAAGGAGGAAGACCCTGCTGCCGCTCACCTGATCCAGGACACCCTGGCACAGCTACAGCCACTGCGCTGGGAGAGGCATGCCTCTCGCTAACCCACTCCGACAGTCACGCAAGTGAGCACTTGCATTTTGCTCCAAACACGACCTCCCAGCCTGCACTTCTTGTAGTTACACCTTCTGTGCGGAGGAGTTTTGTTCTGCGTTCAAATGACTGCTGGGTGTTTGATGGGAGCTCAGCACCTCTGATCAAGGCAGGTTCTCCAGTTAATTAATGATCCTTCTTTTAGAGACTTGGTAGCAAAGAAGAGCTCATTCAGACAGGAGACAGCTGCTCAGCTTCCAAATATAGTGCTTCACTTACTTCTGTGTAAGAACAACAGGTTTATGCTTGGATTTGATTCATCTCTCCTGCCCTCCCCTGTGAGGCATGGTATAATAATGCTGAGTTTAAGAATAAAGCAATCTGTTCCCAGCACCTTCCTCTGCTTTCCCTTCAAGTCTTTCATCAGTGACTGGCAGTACATCGAGCGCTCGGGCACGGAGCAGAGCTGCTCTAAATACGCTCAGTCCTCTCCGTTACTGGGAGAGAAGAGGATATTACTGGGGAAGTGGGGGTAATGGACAGGAAAGGGGAAAGCTTAGCAGGAGAATACTTTAAATTTAAAAAAAAAAAAAAAAAAAAAAAAGGTCAATTAAAAACTTGTGAAGTTTCCAGAGACAGCAACCTCAATGCAAAGGCACCACTGCATCCAGAGAACCAGCTTTACCAAGGAGAGACCCCTTTCTTTCCTCCACCCTGAGCACACACACCTTATTTTGAGAGGCACAAACAGCACCTCACAGGCAGGCTCAGGGACAGACACCAAACCTCTGCTGGGAAACCATGAGAATCCACCCCACCAGGACGATCTTCCCTCTGTGCAAAGCAGGATCTCCGTGAACGCAAGCTGGAAACATCAGTGCCTGCCGCACTCCTCCAAGCTCAACATGCATCTCCCCTCCTCTCCTGCCAGACGGGCCTCAGACTCCTCTCTGTACCCTGCAAAGCCCCGGGCGTCTGCAGGTTTGCAAAGGGGAAGCCAGCCCAGTGCTGCGCTCCGGCCTTCAGAGAGTCCCTTACACAACCACGGCACTGATTTACCATCAACAGCTGTCAGGAGGCATCTGGGGAGAAACAGGGAGCATTGCTTTCCACTACCAAAAATATTTTCACTTCCATTTGCTCACTTGCTGGCGCTTAGCATGCTTTTATCACCGGGTCAGCGCTCCGCAGGCCAGGCTGGCAAGAAAAACTGCTGCTGGGGGCTTTTTCACACTATAAACTTGGCCTAGAACTTGCTATATGAAGTGCTTTTCAATATCCAAAATCTTCACACACACACAAGATAAATCCCACTGTTTGATAACAATCAATGCTCCAGAGTTTAAGACAGAATAAACAAGTCAGTTCATTATTTAAGTCCAAGTGATTAATTTCGGCTATTTCCCCTCACTGGTCTAACGAAGCAGGTACTTACCCAGAGATGAGACAGCCGGGCAAACCGCGCAGGTGAGGCACCGAAATCCATCACGGGGCAGTGTATAGAAGAGAAAGGAGAAGAGACACTGGTTAATAAGCAGTTCCAGCTAAACATGAAAAACCCCACACACCCACCAGAAAAATCCCTCAAGCCACAAAGCCAAGTGCTCACACTTGTATTTTACATGAGCGCCGCAACAGAGTTCACATAAACGAACTTCGGTGTCTGACTCTTCCCAGAACTGAAGGTGGAACCGGACGTTCACGTTGAGCCACTTCTTAGAAATGTAAACACCAAGTGGGGAAGGAAAAAAAAAACACCCCAAACACGACATTAGGCTGACATTACTTAACGCTGATAATACAGCGAGCGGTGACGCAGGCGTCCCGTGCCTGCCAGCCTCCAGCGAGTACGGCCTCCGGAGCCCTGGCCGGTGCCCGGGGCGGCACGGCACGGGTCAGGCACCGCCGAGCCCCGGCTGGAGAAGCAGCGAGCGCCGGTGCGGAGGCTGCAGACTGGCCCCGCGCGCTTCTGCGTCCGTCCGGCTCCTCCGGCCTTACATAACTTCCCGTGCAAACTTCTGCAGGGGTGGACACAGCCCAGCACCTCCAGCCCCAACTCCAAAGGGCTCCAACTGAGCCCTCTAGTGGGCTTCAAAAACTCAACAAAACACCCATAGACTTAATTTAATTAACACTCTGCCAGAGGCCTCTAAACCCTAATCCTCTCAACAAAAGGATCATTAACTAAATGAAGAGATTCAAGAGAGCAATGGTGCTCTCAGCCGCAGCAAGGCCGACTGCGTGCTCCAGCAGGCACACGCCGAGGCCCGAGGAGGGTCCCAAAACCCAGCCAGATCCTTGGCCCACGCCGCAGACGCACCGAGGGTCTGGGGACCTGCTCGACGAGCGCACAGTTGAGTGCTCACGGCACACAGGGGAAGTCTAGCATGGTGCCAGACTCCTCTACAGCCACCCTGGCACACCGGCGAGACAGGCAGAAGCCCGCACCCGTCCTTTGGGAGGCACCACAATGCTGATAGTCCCAGGGCTGTCATCTCCAGCGAGACTGAAACTGCGAACTGCTGAACCAGGAGAGGATTTAGGTGGAGCGCTGGTTGTTTTTAAGTGTTATTATCCACCGATGTCAAAAGCCTGGCAAGCAGGGAAAGAAGAGCTCTCCTTTCAAGAGGCAGCCTCGGTCCTTCAACTGAAGGCTGGGAAAACATCTCCATCTCGCCCGGCCCTGCCAGCATGAACAGCAGGAAGGGTTTTCCTCACTTAAGAGAGCAGGGTGTACGTTGGCAGACAAATTTACAGCATGCAGGGTGCAGTCCAGTCAGGTGCAGTCAGGGAAAAGCCTTTAAAGCCAAAGGTTCCCAGCCCACGAGCTTCACCCCAGTGAGACAGGGATGGAGATCTGGGTTTGCCCTTTGCAGGTGGCTCTCTTGGAAAGCCACCTCTAGCTCCTGAGCCACACAGAGGATCCAGAGCACCGCGGCTGCAAGGAGCACATCCATGAGACTACTCATTAGTATGGTGAACAGGAGCAGAAGAAAGCTTAATTACAGGGCAGGGATCGTTCCCTCTGGGTTCGGATGTCAGCAGCAGCCTCGGCGGGGCCGTGCTGCCCCACGGGACAGGTGTTCCTTGACAGAGCCCGCAGCAAGTGCTGCCTTTGCCCGGTCAGCGGGATCCTGGTTGGGGCTCTTGTGATGAGCTGCAGAGCCTCAGGCTCACAAATGTGAGAACCCAAAACAAGGAAGACTTCAGGCATTGCTTGCAAAAAAGCTTCTCTTGGCCAGCAGCAGCCTGCACAGGTCTCTCTGGAGATGCTACTGCAGCCCACCTATAGGTACTGGTCCCCTGGTTTTGGTGCTGTATGCGAGCACCCCTGTCCTGAGGAACTCGGTCTCATCAGCAGCTTCTGAAGCTCAAATCTGAGCTCCAGCCGTGGCGTTCACCAGGGCAGAGACTGCGGTAGCTGCTGGTGGGGCAGGTTCATACCCCAGAGGCTGCCACAACCTGGGGCAGGGCTTTTAGGGTGGCCAGGAGATGCTTTATCACACTACCTCTCCCCAAACCAACGCAGCCTTCCCTGGAGGGACCTCAGCCCTCCAAGGTGCCAACCAAGCCCATTGCAGACCCTCTATGTTTGGGTTTGTATGCTGGAAAGCATTCACAGAGGTCCCCATTTTCAGTAAGTGCCTTTTGCCCCTGCCCTCTCCCTGCAGCTTTTCGGGACGTGCCTCCAGGATAGAGCTGACTCGTTGTTGAGGCCTCCTTGCCTGAAGACGCAGGAACAACTGTTCCCAGAGTTAATGAGGCTGTCCTGCTTTGATCCAGGGCAGTTTTCGGCAGACACAGAATAAGCAGTCCTCTCCACAGTCACCTCCTGGAATAAATCCCAAGAGCTCCCGTCACCCCAGCCCAGGCAAGAACACAGATGGTCGCAGAGATTAAAACATACAGAGAATTAACCGCCCCATGCAAATGAGCTTCTTCATCCAGCCCAGCGCTGCCAGGTGGTTTGAGGTACAGCGCTTGGATGTGATCATCATGGTTTGCTGAGCTCCGATAACAGCCCCGTATCGACCAGAACAGGGGGCCAGAAAGCCAAGAAGTTTGAAGGCAGTTTGTAGGGGAGGCAAGATGCAAACTGCCAGAGTCAGGCAGCTGCTGTAACCACATCTGCCTCCTGCTACAGCAGTGGGGGAAAAGCAGCGGCACCAGGAAAAAGCCTGGCCAGCAGCATGGATCAATTCTGTGCTCAGATATCTTGTGTATTCCCACCGAAAGGCAGCTCGGATGGATCAAACAGTGCTGCAACCCCAGCATGAGCCATCTGCAACTCCGGATGCTTCCCCAACACCTCCGACTGCCGCTCGCAAGGCACCCGTGGGCTGGCAGCAGGCAGCAAGAGAAACCCACACCAACCCCCGCTGCCTTTCCTAGAAGGCTGAAGTCTTGGCACTCGGCTGAGGCACAGGATCCGACACAGCACAACCAGGAAGGATCCGACCGTCACACGGGGCCAAGTGGCCTTTCTGAGAAAGGCAGGGCTTTCTCCAGGCTGCCTCCTTGGGAGGAACTGCACCCCAAACCCACGAGCATGTTAGCATCACCAGCGATAGGTTTAAGCCATACTTCATTTTTACTCAAAACCAGGGAAAAAATTCTGAAAAGAGTGGACTTCTCTTGCTCGGTCACATCCCAGCTCCCAGTCGGTATTTTTAAGGGACAGGTTTCAAGCTATGCGATAATACAGATGACCACGTTTGCTATTAAATGCCTCCACTCCGCATCCAAGGACATCCCCGAGCAGCGCTGACCCCATCCGCCAGCCCGCGGCAAGGCTCCTCACAGCCGCAGATTGGCCAAGGCCAATCCCGACCTGGCCGCAGATTGGCCAAGGCCAATCCCGACCATACGGGAGAGGTTCACCTCCACCTCAGACACAGCACAACATCAACACAGATGGAGAAAGTCATGTTACAGCCCAGCGTGGCTCAGGGCCGGGCCAGCATCTGCCCTCCATTGCTTGCGTGCTCAGCGTCTGAGTTCGCACAGATGCAGGGAGGTGACTCTGCTGTTCCCGTTTGATACAGACCCTCAGTGCAGGGAAAGAGCCCCCCTCAAGTTCTGAAGTGCCCGCAAACAGCTTACCCCATCTCCAAGGGTTTTTGGAGAGCGGATACAGAAATACAAACCCTTAAAGGCTGGTGCTGTCTGGCAAGCAGCTAAACCATCGCGGGAATCAGGGGACAGCAACCGAGCAGGGATCAGCTCACGGAGGTCACGTACAGCATGATAAATGCTGTAATGCATCAGCTGCGTTAGTGCCCTGGCTACAACAATGCTTCAAGACATCGGTCCACCCCAGCTCCCACCCACGCTGAGCAGAGCTCAGCACCGACACCGGGTTCTCCAGGCTGTAAGCAAGCTCAGAGCTTCCCCGCATCTCCCACCCCACTGCTGCGATGCGCTAGCTTGTTTGCAACACCTACAAGATTGCTTTAACGCCGCTATGGTCAGGGCTTGGTCACTCCCAAGACTCCCAGCACACGTCAAGCCTCACACCCCCTTGCTCAAATCCAGCTCAGGTCAACCGTGGCCAGATGTAATTACCTACGTGAAAGGAGCTCGAAGCTGCCTCTAATAAGAGGATAATAATAATAACATCAGGCCAGGGTTCCTCCTCCTTTTTTGCTGCTTAACAGGGTGCCAAAACTTGCCTCACATTAAGTGGACCAGCCAGAACTTAACCTCCTTCCTTGCTACCAGACCTGGCTTTCCCAGGAATGGCAGGAGAAGGCAGGTTTCTTAGTCACCTATTTACAAACAGGAGCAGAGAACATTTTAATAGGATTCATTCGTTTAATTGAATAGCGCACAGGGTATCAGTGGCTTTAGTTGTGTTGGCAAAAGGCTTTGGGATGAGCAAATGGAGGAGCAAGGGCAGGCCCTACACTCTAAAACACTTCCCAGGGGCCAGGCAACACGCCGCCATTGAGCCCGCGGCCGTCCGCAGGCCAGTGTGGGGCTGGGGTGGTTCCCGACAGCCTCAGCATCCTCCTGGGTACGTTTTCCCAGCTTTTGTGATTTGCCTTCCCAGTGATTTGCCTTCAAATCTCCAAGGTGCAGGAAGAAGCAGCAGACAACTCTAGCTAAGAGGCACAACAAAATAAGATGACCCAAGCTCCCTTCCAGCCTCTCCTCCTAAAATCTGCAAGCGAGAGGCGGCTTTAGAGCCTTCCCAGAGCAGCAGGGTCCGACTCACACGATGCTCAGACGACACAGAGCCATTTTGACCCAGCGTTTTCTGCCCCTGAGCAGACACTCGGGCCAGGAGCCTGGATGGTGCCTGTGTGCGCACTGCCCGTGCCTGCACGTCTGATATTTCAGGATGGGAGCCCGGATGGTGCCTGTGTGCGCACTGCCCACGGCGCCCCGTGCCTGCACGTCTGATATTTCAGGATTTTCTCGGGGGACATCAGGAGGGGACTAGAGACAAACCGTGCTAATTGGATAGACGAAGCGTCCTCCACAGCCCTATAAAGCTGCGAGCAGCTGCTCAAAACCTCTTGTGAGCCACAAAAATAGTTTCATCTGAGGAGCAGGCGTGGATTAAACGCCACAAATGCCCTTTTCTTTGCTCTGTGCAAAGTGCATTTTTCCCCATTGCGGTCCCAAAACAAAAACCAGACCCGCAGATCAAACCAGGAAATTCAGCAAACTTTGAGCACCAACAATAGCAGGAGGATTTTCCAGACCTTCAAGCTTGTTTTGCAAGTCCCAGATT